GTATTCATTGTTTTGTTCACTGAAACCACCACCAGTCTATTCATTCACTTTTCTGTAAAACAATGCCAGCTATTATACTCATCCACTCCAACTTTTACTATCTATTGTACTGCAGTGTATAGGAANTGACAGTTTAGATGCTATTAATTCTCGCATTCATCTCTTCCTCGTCTTGGTGTTGTTAGTAATGTCCGCTCAGAGTTGTATTCATTGTTTTGTTCACTGAAACCACCACCAGTCTATTCATTCACTGTAAAACAATGCCAGCTATTATATTCATCCACTCTAACTTTTACTATCTATTGTACTGCAGTGTATAGGAAATGTAAATTAGCAAAGCAACTCGTGCATATTATTAATTTTATTATATTATCATCACTCAGCTTATGTACACAAAACAAAATATGATTTGAATGAAAAAAATCAATTGAAAAGATGCTTAGAGAGAAAAAGGTGAAAAAGGTGGCTTTTGCAAAGCAAATGAAAAGCCAGGCAGAAAAATGGTATAGGAAAACTAGAAAAAAAGGTCTAGAAGCATTGGTGGTGGTGGCAAAAGAGGCAGGTAATGCACACACAACAAAAAGCGGGGGAGGGAATGATGAATCGGTGTGTGTGTGTGTATAAATGCGCAAACACACTCACACAGGAAAAAGGGGTGAAGGGGNTATGATTTGAATGAAAAAAATCAATTGAAAAGATGCTTAGAGAGAAAAAGGTGAAAAAGGTGGCTTTTGCAAAGCAAATGAAAAGCCAGGCAGAAAAATGGTATAGGAAAACTAGAAAAAAAGGTCTAGAAGCATTGGTGGTGGTGGCAAAAGAGGCAGGTAATGCACACACAACAAAAAGCGGGGGAGGGAATGATGAATCGGTGTGTGTGTGTGTATAAATGCGCAAACACACTCACACAGGAAAAAGGGGTGAAGGGGAAAAAGGAGCAAAAACCATATTTTTTATACAAAAACATAAATAGAAAAAGCTTGGTGTGGGTGGGTGTGTGTGTGTGTGTGGCGAGGGAAGATGAAGTGTAGCAATGAATTGGGTGAGGAGGAGGAAGAGGAAGAAGAGATGAAAATCGATGATGGCGAAAAAAGTGAAAGTGCAAAGGAGTGCACCGAGAGAGCAAGAGAGAAAAAAGTGATGAATAACTTAAGGAGAAAAGAAGGTGGAAAAAAGTGGCACTTGGAGGAAACAAGAGAGAAAGAATAAAGCAAAAATGAAGGAGAGAAAAAAAGGAGGAGGAAGAGGAAGCATTTGTACGAACTCATTAGTTAGACTGAACTCATCAGGATGAACTCTGGAAGGGGGTGGGACATAACAACTTGGTTCAACAGATAACGGGGTAACAAGATTGGGTGTTCGGTGTCATTCCAAAGCTGTTCTATCACCCTAGGTGGTAACCTCCTGCTCTATGGTTACCACATGTACACCTGTCCGGGGTGTATGGTGTAGGGCGGTCGAGCGCGTGGAATGAGTATCTGCGGGGGCATTGAATTGTAGGCCGATCCAGTGGCGCTGTAGGTGCCCAGCGAGCGGTCCAGACTGGGCTCGCTCGGACGACGTCCCACGGTGTCCTGCCCACTGTGATTGACTAAGTGGGCGCCATTGCCGTTGCCATTGCCTCCTCCTCCATTTCCGGTTCCGTTCCGCCTGGCCATTGAGCCGCGGGCGCTGGCGGGATTTGACTCGCTCTGAGGAGGTCGGGGGGCAGGTGTGGGTTCGGTGGGCAAGAGGAGTGGGTGGGGGCAGAGAGAAGTGAGCAGAGAAAAGGTGAGGTTTGGGTTAGTTAGTTAGTAGAAATGGAAAAAAGTTGTAGTCTAGAGTTGAGGTGCTGTCTGTGTGAGATACTGCTGCTGCTGAATGATAACAATTCGACGGAGCCAAAAAGAGAGAAAGAAAACGGCAACGGCAAAAGGAGGGTGATGAAAAAAGAGAGTTCTCATCGGGGCTAATCGAGTAGTAGTATCTGTGTGATTTTGTCTGTGAGATTCTGGCCATTTTTTTTGTTTTGTAAGGGGTCATCACAGCCACCGATTGTGTTGCTGCTGCGCCTGCTGAGACTGCTGCTGAGACTGCAGTGTCGTCGCTGCTGTTGTTCTACCATTGTTGTTTGCGGCAGGCACAAGACCACCACCACCACCACCAGTAGCACTACTGTTTGAACCACCACCACCACTACCGCCACTTACATTGTAGTGGGAAGAGCGATGCTGCGGATCACTGCTCTCGCTGCTGGTCTCGAGCATTGCCTTGCGGTCGAGCGTGCCCCCGATGACGGCCACCGGTCCGTAGGCGGCCAGGTTCTTGAAGCGGCGGTTCCGATTGCGCAGCTTGCGCGAGCAGTAGAGGAAGGCGATGATGGCGACGATCACCAAAATAGCGATGATGGGAACGAGAATGGCGAGAACTAAAACGGAGGGAAATGAGAAGAATGTAGGCCATTAGCAAAGTGCTGCTGCTGTTTTTCCATTTCATTGTCAGCGGCAGCGGCTGTGCTGAACACTTACGCAGTCCATTGATCTCGCAGCGGCGGCCGATGAACATCGGGTGGCAGCGGCAGACGGTGTTCGCCTGTGATCGCCAGCAGTCTCCGCGGCCGTAGCAGTAGTCGCAGGACTTGACCTCGCTGACGCAGTGCCGTCCTGGACTGACCGCGTCCAGGTCGATGAAGGACTCGAGGCACTGGCAGCGGTAGGTGCCCGGCTCGTTGATGCACCGCGCCCTTGGCGAGCAGTCATTGTGCAGCGGTGAGGTGCACTCGTCAAAGTCGACCACCTTCTCCACCTGGCCCAGGCTGGAGAGCTTCCGGGAGAGGTCGTCCTGGACGTTGCGATTGAGGCTGGGGTCCAGCTGAATGGTCAGGTTGACCATGGTGGCCGCCTGGGAGCGGCTGCTTCGCTCCACGGAGAGCACCTGCAGGTCGGCGATGCCCTCGGCGTCCAGGCCACGGCCGCCGGCGGTGGTCAGGCGACGGGCGACTCGGGTGAATGACTGCACCTCATTGCCGGTGTGGTGGGCGGCCACCTCCGACTCGGCGGTCTTTGAGACGCGCACCACGACGAGGTAGTTTTTGATTTCTGTTTGGTGGGAAGAGGAAGTAGGTTTAATGGTTCTAAGTTACCTTTTCATTCAACCGTCCAACTTACCTTGACAGCTGCCGTCCGACGGTCGTCGCACGTAGCCAGGTCGACATTCGCAGGTGTACTTGCCGGGCGCAGCCGAAGTGGCCGCCTCCTCCACCTTGCAGTACTCCTTGTTGGTGGCGTTGCAGGCGGGAGTGCACAGGTCGGCCGCCTCCAAACTGGCGTTCATGAAGATGGACGGCGGCAGGGTGGCCGCCTTGTTGTTGCCATTCTTTGCCTTTCCATTCTTGGGCTGTGAGCTGAGGAAGGGCGTCACCTTGGCTTTGAGCAGTGGTGGCTGCTGCTGCTGGTCCTGGTTCTTTGGCCGGTGCAGTCGTGGTCGGGTGGTGGGCGCCGGTTGGGCGCTGGTGGTGGCCGATGATGAGGGGGTCATTGATGAGGTGGCGGCAGAGGCAGTGTCCATCATGGTGCTCGACCTGGTCGGCGTGATGGAGTTGTACGTGCCGAGGATGGTCTTTGAGCCGATGATCGTCGAGACGTAGGTGATCGGCGGCAGGGTGGTCGTGTGGATAGAAGTGATGGTCAGCGGAGAGTCGCGAGTGTAGTAGACCTGTAGAGGAAAAGTGGTTAGTTTCAATTCAGGTACTCATCATTAGATCAAATAAAATGTTTTTATCCTTACCTTTGTACTGGTCAGCGTCAGCGTCTTTGCCGCCTTCTCCACGCTGGTCACGTATCGGGTGCTCACCGGCGGCTGTCCACCGTCTCCGCCCTCCTCTGTCTGCGTACTGAAGATGACCTTCTCCTCACTGGTGGTCATGTAGTACTTCGGCAGATTGGTCTGGTTGGGAATGTACACGGGGAACTTGGCGTCCGGTCGCTGTTTGTTGCCGTTGCCGCTGCTGCTGCCCAGCATGGGAGTTTTGCCTGAGAAGGAGGGCGCCAGAGTGCTGATGCTTCCGTCGGGAAGGGAAGTGGTCAGCGGGCCGTCCGTTGTTGGATCGGTTGTTGTGGAGATCGTCGTCTCATCGCCGTTTGAGGAAGAAGTTGTAGTCGTGGTCGATGAGTCATCGTCAGCTGACATGTCAGGTCTAGTGACGATGTTGTTGACAATGTCCTTGATCGTCTCGCCAATCTGTCCGGCGTTGTTGACGCCCTGCAGAAGGTCGTTCAGCTCAATGACCGAGCCTGGCTTGAGGACCGCCGTGCTGCTGCTGCTCTGCTGCTCGTTGACCAGCGTCGTACTGGGACCGATGAGGATGGCCGTGGGCATGGCAGAGCCGACGTCCTTGTCGATTTGGTCTTTGTTGAAGAGCACCGAGGATGTCTCCAGCTTTCTAGTCGGTGACATTA